TAGTTGTCAGTTTCCGTGCAAGTTCTTACCTGGTGTGTCACCTGAAGCAGGTGATCTTTCCTCTCTGTCCCTTGTCCATCTGTAAGATGGGAATGGATATCTGTTGACTCAGGGCAGAGGTTACCGAAGGGCTTACTGCCACCCAAGGATGCACACCCTGTTTATGGCAGAGACATATAACATTAATAAATGTTTATTCACTATATGTGCAGAGAAGTATAAAATTAATAAATGTTTATTTGCTGGGTGTGCAATGCTAAGACTCTAAAATGAAGTGAAGAGTTGCAATTGAATATTCAAAGTTTTACATTGATTTCTAGCAAGATAGTCTATTGAGTACCCATTGAATCAGAATCTCTGGGTTGGGGCCCCCACATTTGCATTTTTATTAAGCATCTCAGTCAGTCTTTAGTACACTGCAGTTTGAGAACTGCTAGATGGTCTTGGCAGCCCTCACACGCTGGAATTCTAAGGCATGTGCATTTTGTTGTAAAATGTGACTCGTGTCAGCAAGATCGAAGTGTCTGTACAGTACAGTTTTCATCTTAGTAAGAAATGTTCTTTCTGAACTCTGAAACACAGGTAAGAAATAAGACAAAAAGCAAAAGAAGTCAGCCTTATGAGTCCAGCAGTTCAGTGCTAGTGATGGAGATGTGGAAACCTGGTCGAGGTGCCGACTTGGGGACGTGGGTGGTGACCGGGACACATCTCAGTTGAGATGCTTGTTCCTCCAGCGTGGAGGGATTGAGAAGAATGCAAGTTGCCCATCTAATTTGGCAAGTTGTCTTTGTTAGGATGAGCTGAACTTGGAGCAAGTAGGAATGCCTGAGCATGTCCTGTCTTTTCTGTGTATGAATCTCCTACCTGTCTCTAAGGGTTCTGGTCAGGTTTTTGGAGCTCTGAGCATCTGGCCTCCCTGGGACCTCTTGCAATATTGCCTTTATCCCCGATACAGCATCTTTACTGTTTTCTGTTTCTCCACTGGAATTTGACCTGCTCAGAGTCTAGTGTTTTGCCATCCTTGTGGTATGGAGTGTCGTGAAGAATGCAGGGTACAGCCTATCATCAGAAGATTGGATTCAAGCTGTGTGACTTAGCAGAAACTTCATTTCCTTGAATCTGCTTCCACTTTTATTATAATGTATGCGCAGTGCATCTGTAAAATGGGACCGAATGTCTGTCAGCCGAGGGCAGAGGTTACTGAAGGGCTCACTGCCACCCAGGGATGCACGCCCTGTTTATGGCATGGTAGACTTGAGATGAACGAAGGCAGAGGAGACAAGGGTGCTTGTTCCTGAAAGCTTTGGGGTCAGAAACTAGCATTTGACTTGGGATCAAACGCTCGATCACAGGAATCCTGCAGGTGCAGGGGAGTGACTTGGATTTATGTGTCCACACGTGCCAAGTAGGAACAGTGTTCATGATTTCCTGCAAGGTTCTAGAGGGTTGAATGCGTTGTATGTAGTAGAGCAGAAGCCCAATAGTAGAAACCTCTGCAAGAACCAGTGTGGGTGCAAGGAAACCTACACTGTAATTGATGGATTGCTGGAGGCTCAACGTGGACAAACCTGAGAGTTGAAGACTCCAGAGGGCCTGGTCATGGGGGTTGCACATGCTTTTGTGCGTTTTACCTGCTAGATCTCCACCGAGTTCTCACAGTAAATATTGGAGAAAAATCCCTCGTACCTCCAGCATGGGGAAGGAAAAGATAATTATTTTAAAATGTGACAGAATGCTTTTTTTTCTTTTTTTGAGACAGAGTCTTGCTCCATCACCCAGGCTGGAGTGCAGTGACGTGATCTTGGCTCACTGCAGCCTCCACCTCCTGGGTTCAAACAGTTCTCCTGCCTCAGCCTCCTGAGTAGCTGGGATTACAGGCAATGTGCCACCATTCTCAGCCAGAACACTCTGTTCTTAACAAGGCCTCCTCTCAGGAGAAACTACCTAACCAGAGCCTAACCTACTGGGTTTCACTAGCGCCTAATGAATCTGGAGGAAAGGAAACACCCAACTCCAGCTCCCCGTAGCCATCCTGTCCCAGCTAAGCAGGGCCGGGAATGAAAATCACATGTGAAGATCACAGCCCAGAGACTCATAACACTGAGAACTAATAATTGGACTATAAAACCTGTGCCCACCGCCCCACCCCTGGAAAAGAGAAAACGCAAAATCATATAAAGTGCTCAACTGAAACAAGAGAAAGAAGAACAAGAATGGAAGACATGAAGAAAGAATGGAACACGGTAACAAATATAGTAAGTAGCTCTTAATCTACATATATCAATAATTAAACATCAGTGGTGTAGATACGCAAATTAAAAGAGAGAGGCGGCCAGGCACGGTGGTTTATGCCTGTAATCCCAGCACTTTGGGAGGCCGAGGCGGGCAGATCATGAGGTCAGGATATCGAGACCATCCTGGCCAACATGGTGAAACCCCGTTTCTACTAAAATACAAAAAATTAGTTGGGCGTGGTGGCACACGCCCGTAGTCCCAGCTACTCAGGAGGCTGAGGCAGGGGAATCACTTGAATCTGGGAGACAGAGGTTGCGGTGAGCCGAGATCATGCCACTGCACCCCAGCCTGGTAAAACAGGCTATTTGTGCCTACAAGAAATCCAGCTTACATATGAAGACGCATTCTTTTTTTCTGTTAACAGATGGTAACAACTACTGTGATGTATGAATTACCGAGGTTTATTGTGGGACGAACACAGGAACTCTATTTGAGCCACCGTGTGAATGGAGATGTGGTGAATGGTTCCGGGTAGATGGTGTAAGTCACAGAATGTTCTAGTAGCTGGGGAAACACACCATGGCCGCTGAATATTATGCATTTACTTTCTCTGTTGTGCAATTGTGAAGTTCCTATTGTTGGCCGACTTTTAAATAGAATATTTCTAAAAAAATAAAGAGACAAGTTATTCTAATTTTTATAGTCTTTTCCAAGTGTCAAGGCTTTTTAAAAATATAGTTGAAGTCACGGTAATTTTTCAAGGAAATGTTTTTGTAGATCTCCCAAATGGACAGTGTGTTATAATAGAAATGTTTAAACTATGTATTTAGAACAGATTTTTTTAGTCAACAGATTTTCTTTCAGGGATAAGCTTTTTTCTGTGCTTCTTTCCCTCAACACCTTCTTTGTCCTTATTTCTTAATGGTTAGTATGTTTTCACCGCTTCGTTTGCTTTTGCTGTCATAAAGCCTCATAACCATTTCTGCAGTGGTTCTTTTAGTTGCTGTATGGTTAGAATGCAGTTGTATTTTTATTTGAACATGTTCATACCTTAGGCTGAGATTTTCTCGGTTTCTAGTACATTATCCTTTGCATTTATTGTTGTGATTATTGTCTTTGAAGTGACAGCAGAACTTTCAACACCTGTTCTCTTACATGGCGTGTCTGAATTCCAGGAAGACTGCAGGAGTAGGTGAGAAGGCCTTTTCAGTTGGTCTGGTCATGTTGGTAAATACTGTCTTATGTTAGTAAGTCACATAATTGCTAAATTCCTTAAGATTACATCATCTGGAGGAATGGTATAGTGTCTAACTAGCTGTGCCTCCAAGAACAGCTGATGCACAGGTTGGCAGCATCAGAGTAAGTGGCTTTGGCTGAAAGTTATATTTTCCTACAACGTACTTTTTTTATGGCCTTTGGAATTATTAATAAAATGTGATGCTGATTGTCTCTGTGGAGTCTTGGAAGAGTAGAGTTTGCCACAGTAGCACTTAGTAATTGTGGGCATTCATTAAAAAGAGCCTGAGCCAAAAGCAAAAAGAATGCTAATGTGCCCTTGTAAATGGGTTAGTAAGCAGTTCTTTTATTGCATATGATACTGGGAGTGAATGGTATTTTTTCCACACCCATGGGTGTTAGTTATACATATAGCCTATGTTTCCAGAATGTTTATATGTTATATGTAACTATTTTAAAGTAGTTTGTGACATTACCTAGCATAGAAAGTAGTTAAATAGTAAAATTCTAACTCTAAAATTTGAAAGTGCAACACAAGATATTTTATATTTTCTATGAACTATGCCTTTCACCATTCACTGACCTTTAAGAAAAAGTAGTTGGTGAACAACTAACTCATGCTATCAGAATAATAAAAGGTTTTTAAATTCCAAAATAGCAAAATTTATTCAAGTAATAGCATAAAATTTGAAATCATGATGAGTGGTAAGACAATGTCTGAGAATGTGGCATTTCTGGATTTTCAGTTAAATCAAATACATTGTATTTGATTCTTTTTTTCCCTTGGTGAACTAATTTCAGAATTGGAATAAACCGAATGCTGCTATTTATTTCAGCTGCTGTAAAGTTTTCTTGTAGAATGTATCTTATACACTGTATTAGCAAAATGGATGGTGAAGAGGACTGAAATCTCACTATCCTGTGCTGAAATTAGACAGTGAAGGTAAAATAGAGGAAATTTGGGGATTTTTTTTTTTTTTTTTTTAGATACAGTCTCACTCACCCAGGCTGGAGTGCAGTGGTACAATCTCAGTTCACTGCAACCTCTGCCTCCAGGTTCAAGCAATTCTCCTGCCTCAGCCTTCCAAGTAGCTGGGATTACAGGCACCCACCACCACACCCAGCTACGTGTGTGTGTGTGTGTGTGTGTGTGTGTGTGTGTGTGTGTGTGTGTGTTTAGTAGAGACAGGGTTTCACCATGTTGGCCAGGCTGGTTTTGAACTCCTGACCTCAAGTGGTCTGCCCACCTTGGCCGCCCAAATTGCTGCATTTACAGGCACAAGCCATGGTGCTTGGCCCCAGGAATATTTAATTGTTGTAGGTTGTAGTTGACCATCATACAGTTTGTAAAATGATAGAGCTTGTCATCAGCGTCTAGCAAGTGATCTAAAAAGGATGGGTGAATAAAAGGTACCTGAGCTTCACCATCTGTGTTGTTTCCTTGTTTGGTGGGTGATGCTTACTCACATCAATACATTTAAATCAATGATTTAAAAGAAGAGGTTTTAGGTTTTTGAACTAATTTAAGTATGCCAAAAATCTGTGATTAGCCATTTTGGAACCTGTTGGAAGCAGATGCTCAGTGCTACAAAGAAAAATCAGCACTGAGACAAAGGATCTTTCAGCAACACCATTTTTACTTCCTGAACTGCAGGAAGGGTACCCTTGCTAGCCATCTTGCCACAAGAATAAAACGTACAAAGGGTCGGCCGGGTGCGGTGGCTCAAGCCTGTAATCCCAGCACTTTGGGAGGCCGAGGCGGGTGGATCACGAGGTCAATAGATCGAGACCATCTTGGTCAACATGGTGAAACCCCGTCTCTACTAAAAATACAAAAAATTAGCTGGGCATGGTGGCGCGTGCCTGTAATCCCAGCTACTCAGGAGGCTGAGGCAGGAGAATTGCCTGAACCCAGGAGGCGGAGGTTGCGGTGAGCCGAGATCATGCCATTGCACTCCAGCCTGGGTAACATGAGTGAAACTCCGTCTCAAAAAAAAAAAAAAAAAATACAAAGGAGAGCAGACATATTTATTCCTTAGCATTTGGGGTCATCCTTACTGCTGTGTCTGATCTCTGCTGGCTGGAGCCAGATCTCACAATTTAAACTAAAACTCGATTGACTAATAACTTAAAACTTTTTTAAACATGTAAAAGCAATGGAGAGCTGGGACATGCCTATGAGCACATCCAGCACAGATATTTTGGTTAAAGTACAAGGACCTGGAATGTACTACATGCCTGTAAGCATGGCATGTTTAACAGCTACATATGATAGGGCTTAACGAAGAGTTATTAGCACGCTTATTTTTTAACAAGAAAGGAAACTTTAAACAGGAACTTCTTTACTTCCCACAGAACCTTCTGCAAGTAAGACGTTTCTAGGCCAGGTGTGGTGGCTCACATCTGTCCCAACATTTTGGGAGGCCAAGGTAGGCAGATTGCTTGAGGCAGGGAGTTTGAGACCAGCCTGGGCATCATAGCAAGGACCTGCATCTACAAAAAGGAAAGTAAGCCCAGAGTGATGCTGCGAGCTTGTAGTCAGCTATTCAGGAGGCTGAAGTGGGAGGAGAGCTTGAGCCCGGGAGGTTGAAGCTTCAGGAAGCTGTCATCCTACTAACTATACTCCAGTCTGGGCAACAGAGGGAAACCCCATCTCTATTTAAAAAAACAAACAAAACAAAACAAAAAAAACTCTAATGTGATTTAATGTCTTTGTGCTGATTTGACTTAAGAAGATTGAACATGCCATCATATTCCTTTCCTTAAAGACTACCTACAAGACTAATGAGTGATTTGACCGGATAGTTGAATCAGTGTTATGATAAAAAGAGCCCTTTACTAAATTCTTGATAATGTTCTGAAGTTTTCCAAAAGCGTAATCTAAATAGATCTTTATTTTTCAGACTATTTAAATATTTTTGAGATTTAGTTTTTAGTAACATCTAACATCCTAGGAAAATATAAACACTGTATGACAGCTCATACACTTTTTTCTTTTTAGTTTTCATTCAAATTTCAGGGTGTTTTATTTATCCCCTTTAATTTTAATTTTAATAGCAGCCATAAACACTTTGCTTCAGAATTATGGTAAATCATGACACAGAAGAGGTCTCAAGAGCATTTTTTTCACTTTACTATAACTAGCTTGCGACCACATCGACAGTATCTTGTTATTGCTTGGCATAGCATATATCCTTTATAATAATACTCTTTGTAATAACTTGTTTACTGCAAGGAACTCATACCTACTCAACTGTAGTATTTTAAGTTGTTAGTTCATAAATTAGACATACCCTTGACATGATTTGTATCATCTGAAACACACATTATTAATTTAAAGCTTTTGATGTGCCACGTAGTTTAATATTAACTTACTGAATGTAAAATGGACTCAAAGTTTCCTTTTGGAATATGTTGAAATGTCATCAAGAGTATATCATTGGTTATAGTAGTATGGTTATACACATAGTTATACATAGTTATATGTATACATATACATAGTTATATGGATATAAATATTTGTTTCTTGAAAATTAAAAATCTTAAAGTTTAGAAACATAACACTTCTTGGAAAATTGTTCTACATCTTTGTGAACAAAAGAAGATCCAGTGAAATCCAATCTGATACTTAGGGAAGAGAGACAGACTTTGGAAGCTTGTCTGTTGACTCCTAAGAGACTTGCCTTCCTCTTAGAGGTGGGACAATGACTGGGAGCGATATAGGGAGGATAAGAACTGTCGCTAGAATCGCTGTGAATGTTGTCTATGTAGAGTGCCCTTCACTTCGGAATGGGAAGTACACTGACGTGCTAGAAAGGCTTTAACCAAAGGCCTGTGCTTGTCAAGCCTGAGGCGCGCACGTGGCTGAGTGTGGTGAATGCATACCGGCCGCCCGGCTCCCAGCTCCGGGTCATGAAGGGCCACTGGGCGTTTCCCTGTGTCGTGCCTGTGTCTGCCGTGTTAGTAGGAGCTCCTGCTTGTCCCTGTTAACACCCTCCAGTTAGGATTGTCAAGTACAATGTCACAGAAGGATGGCTTAGGGGAGTTCAATCTCTTCCTGAACGGTGCCATGCGGAAATATATGTAAACTCATGAGCAAGGTGGACAGTATGAGTTCAATCTTCATCCAAATGCACCCCAGGAAAGTCAAACACTTCACTATTATGCTAATTTATCCACCGTGGAAATATCACATTTTTGATCATGATGATTCTTCATCTCTGAGGGCAATAGACACCACCTATGTTTTGAGAAGGTCCTGGCAGAAGCAATGATACGTGGAGTAAACAGAACGCCGAGCTGCCTGGGTAGAATTCAGGTCCCTCCAATTTACTGAGGAACAGAAGGAGACTGCAGCTGCCAGTCTCTTTGCAAAAGCCCATTCTAGTGCCAAGCTCATGGGATGCCAGGCACACGTGGATTCCAGACAAGCAACCCATGTGTTGCACTCAGAGTCAAGGGCATGGTTGTGGTGAAGTCAGACACTTGAGTCTCCAGATATGCTGTGAGGACAGGAAGTTGCTCTCCCAGGAAACGAGCTACTAGGAAGACAGTGGGGGAGGAATCGGTGCAGCAGTGGACATCCACCTTAGCCTCCCTCTGCCACCCCCCTCCCCTGTACCCTCAAGGGTCCTATTCAGATTCTGCTGGGCGGGGCCGGATGTCTGTATTCTTTGCAGGTTCCTCTCAGGATTCAGATGGAGAGCAAAGCTCGGGAACCTTCCAAGGGGCATGGCTTGAGACTTGAGAAGGGGTGCACACTCCCCGGTTCCAGCCCACAGGCCCCTGGCCTCTCACAGCTCCTGACCCTGTGGTCCGCGGTGTGACCAGCCTGTCCTTTCACCCCCGGGCTCTGTCCTTCTGCATTTGCTGTGTGTGGGTGAGCTGCGGGGTACAGCTCACACGGGCTCCTGTCCTGCCAGCTTCACTGGGGTCCAGTCCCCGGGGAATCCCAGAAGGAGACCAAAGGCAGGAGCAGCCTAGGGCCGGGCACTGAGCCACCCGGCTCCTTCCTGTGAAGCTGCCTCAGCTGGCTCTGTCTCGGGCAGCAGGGGTGACTCACAGCTCTGTTCCTCAGGGCTCCTCTAGCCCAGCCCTCCTGTGGTGGCCCCAGGTTTGGAGCTGGTCATGGCTGGACGGGGGACAGCTCCAGATCCCTGCCGGCATGCGTTTCCTGCTGCTGCACTAAGGTCTCACCCCCAACCTGGCAGCCTCAGGCAGCCAGGAGGATTTGTTAACCTCCTGTGCTGGAAGACAAAGCCAAAAATTAGTCTTGCTGGGCTAAAGTCAAGGTCTGGGCAGGGTGGGCTCCTGCTGGGGGCTCCTCTTGCCGCCTCTGACTTCCCAGGCTGCCCAAGGCCCTGAGCTGCTCCCCTCTCCACTCCCGGCCTCCACTCAGCATCTGCTCTCCCAGCCCTGCTGCTGCTGCCATCACACCCCCTTCTCTGACCCTCCCTCCTGCGTGGACAGACCCTGCGATGATGGTGCACCCGCCTGGCTCATCGTGGCCTCTCCCCACCTGAAGAGCCTGTGTCAAGTCCCATCGGCGAGGGTGCTGGTGCCATATGAAGGTGACATGCACAGGACCAGGCTTTCAGATGTGGGCCCCTTGAGGGGACATTACTCTGTCTACCAACACTGCCGCACGCATTGCAATTCCAGACACCCATACTTTTGGAAACAGTCCCTTGTGTATGAACCTTCCTCAAAGTCACCCAATTCCAGCACTGTCTGTTTCCCTGACAGGGTGTGCTGTCCTTGGCTCTTATTTCAAAGCAGTTCAAGAAGGGAAATCCATGTAGCATGATCGTCCATGCAGCCGCAGGCTCCCCCAGCTAAGCCTGAGCTTCCTCAGGGGCTGTGTCCTCGCCCTGGCTCCTTGCCCTGCCGGCGATCTGACTGCTCCGGCATCCCCTGCCCACCCCTCCCTCCATGTGCACACCCTCTTCCCTCTCCCCAGCCTCCACTCACTCATTCAACAGAATTGGGCAGAGCGCCTCCCTCACAGGAACAGGAGGATAGGAAGTGAGACAGACAGGACTTCTGCGCCCAGGTGGCGGACAGCCATGGAGAGAATGGAGGGGGACAGAAGGGGACACACATGAGATCCCCTGTGGCCTCTGTGGTGCATCGTTACACTCTGAGAAGTGAGGCAGGAGGCCCACAGGGAAGGGCCACATTCAGATGGGAGCACAGGGGCAGCAGGCTGACCCGGCCTCGAGGTGGGGAGGCTGCCCTCGAAGTGAAGCTGGAGCAGAGGCCGGGCACCAAGTGGTCATTCGTGAGGCCCTTGGAGGACAGAGCTGGGCCCCGAGGGGCCCTGCTTAGTGGTGGGTCTCAGAATGAGCAGAGCAGGGGCTAGGAAAAACCTGGAGGGGACAGAGCCCGGCAAGGAGGCAGGACCGGAGTATCCACTGTTTGAAGAGATCGCACAGGCTGCAGCAGGAAGACTGGACGGAAGGAAGTTCTGGGACATTTCAGATAAAACATCTACTCGGCTCTTGGCAGCCCACATTTGGGAAATGAGAGAACAAGGATGTGTCTGAGTCCCACATGAGAACGAGCCGGATGACTGGTCATGCCAGCCTCGGAAACTGACATCTGGGAAGACCCCATGAAGCTTGGGAATGACATTGTCTTACAACATGGGGCATTTCAAGATGACTTTGAGAGTCTCAGTGGAGATGGGGAGAGGCAGGTGGATTTACGGGTCTGGAAGCTCACAGAACTTTGAGCTGGTGATCCAATTTGGAAGGCTTGGGCTCAAAAGGATCAACTGTTAGGAAGTGCTGTTGCTCCAAAGCCCTCCTGCCCTGGCCCACACAGCCTTACCAGGAGGCAGAGCCAGCTGGCTGCAACTCCGACCCCCGCAGCCCAGGACCCTGGTGCCTGCTGTCCACCTTAGTGAGAAGTGAATGATTCTTTACAGAGTTGTTGCATGGGACAGCGTTGCCTCCCCACCAGCCTGGACTAGGGCAGCCCAGTGTCCTCTCAGGGTGAGGAACTCTTCCCCACACCTTTATAGGACTGCAGGAACCAGCACCAGCACAGTGATGCCCATGGTATGCTCGTCTTCTGCACCCCTCTCAAGGGCAAGTCTAATGAAGGCAAGTTCACAGACCACAACCATGAAGCGTACAGAGTGGCCACCACTGCTAACTCCCTTACCCACCTGGAAGGCAGGCGTCCTGGCCCAGGCTCAATTGCATTCTCTAATGAATACAGACAGGATTCTGGGTGGTTTTTTATTTTTGTTTTTTTCAGAGACAGGGTCTCACTGTGTCACCCAGGCTGGCATGCAGTGATGTGATCACGGCTCACTGCGGCCTTGACCTCCCAGCCTCAAGCAATCCTCCTGCCTCAGCCTCCCAAAAAGCTGAGATTAGAGGCATGGGTCACCACGCCTAGCTTTACCAGCCCTTTAGTAATAAGCACTTTTCAGAGAATTGAAGCTGTTCAGCCTGGAGATGAAGCACAGGTATCATCCTGGACACCAGAAGTCTGGTTGGATGCCGGGGTCAGCTAAGAGCAAAATGATACTGGAGAGCAAAGGCTGTGGCGTGGCTGCTTTGACCCTGCAGGAAGAGCTTGGGCTGGCCCCAGGTGATGCTGCCCTTGCTGTCCTAGGAGGGGCCTGGCAGGGTCCTTTCTATCCCAGAAATGCTGTGAGCAGAGCTAATAAGCACCCACAGGAAGCTTCATCTGCCCAGAGGAGAGTCTGCCTCCATCAGCACAGTGCAGTGCACGCCAGCCGCACTCAGCGACTGTTTTGGAAGTTGCAGGGCTATCAAAAAATTTTATGTCCCGGCTTTCAGGAAGTCAAGCCTAACAAATAACATGCACCCAGGAGAACTCCCCGAGGGCTGAGGTCTCTGGGGCTGTGGTGAGCAGTCCACGCAGACTGTGATAGAACCCAGAGGAAGAGGGAGCCCAGGACAGGGAGGGTCAAGGATGAATCCCGGCCCAGCTGGCACTTTGGGAGGCTGAGGCAGGCAGATCACGAGGTCAGGAGTTCATGGTGAAACCCCGTCTCTACTAAAAAGACAAAAATTAGCTGGGTGTGGTGGCATGCATCTGTAATCCCAGCTACTCGGGAGACTGAGGCAGGAGAATCGCTTGAACCCAGGAAGCAGATGGTGCAGTGAGCTGAGATCCTGCCACTGCACTCCAGCCTGGCGACTATGGTAGCATTACCATGGTCCACAGAAAACAAGTCGCATGAGCGATCAACAGAAGAGAACACAAAATAAGACCGAGAGAAGCCATGTTCCTAGGGCCATGCTGTCCCTGCTCCCGGCTGAGGCTTGGAGGAGGCCTACCCTGCTGATCACACGGCGAAGAGTCAGGGCTCCGAGGCCACCTGCACATACCAGGATGGCATCCCTGACACTCCCGGTGGGAAGCAATGTCGCCATGCCCTGAAGACTCATGTCTGAGACGGGCGGGCAGCACCGCTCTATCAGCCAGCTGGCTGGTTTCACATCTCAGGGAGGGCATTGTGTCATGGATGTAAATGACATGGCACAGCAGCGTCTCTGGTGTCTGGTGGTGATGAAGTCCTGGTGCTGTTAATGGAGGAAATGCTAAATTGCAGTTAGACATTAATGAAAATAAAGATGCAATGTTTTTTTCATTGTGATGCATGGGACCCCAAATTCTCCCTAGACCTCTAGACCCAGCATAAGGCCCTGTGCCTGCTGGCCAGGCTAGGGTGTGGGGACCTCACCACGGCACGTTTCCTTGGTGAAGCCATGCCAACATTCCTCGTTTCTCACATTTTGGAGCCCTCCCACGAGTGGGGGAATGCAGCCCTCCAAGGAGCTGGTGGTCTTGGACCTGCCACCCCACAGCCAGAGGTCTCTGGCTGTAGGCCACTGGTGCCTTCCCTGCTGGTACAGGTGAATTCTGGAAGGAGGGTACCAGGGGGGTGGGCGTGTGGGTGGTGGGTAACTTCAAGCCTTCCCCAGAGGGAAGGCCTACCTCATGGAGCTCTGTAAGCAAAGGCCAGGAGGCACCCAGGACCCCAAGTCCATGCCAGGTGGCATCAGGGGGAAATGGGAGATCAGCCTCCCCGGGACTGCCACCTTCAGGGCCCTGCAGAGAACAGGGCTGCCCTGAGTGTGCCAGCATCCTGGGAATGTCCCCCACCCCCATCACATCCCAGTCACCTGGCTGGCCAAGCATCACCAGAGAGGAAAGAGTTTGAAAAACCAAAGTCCTTTCTGCCCCAAAATATTTTTTATTTTTGCATTACATTTGTGTTTCCAATTGTGAATAAAAAATGCTTAGAAAGTGGTTACAAAACAGCGTGAACTGGACAGGAGGAGCAGCTGGCCCTGAGGGTCCGTCACTTCTCCACTTAGACGGCGTGAAGTGGACCTGGTGTCTGGGCGGGGTCAGTCAGGCTTCCCACTCTCAGGATCTGGAAAACAAAACCGCGCAGCTTACTGTGGGCGCACCGTGGTGCTGGCCACTTGCTGAAACCAGGCCCTGATGCCCTCTCAGGAGCTGCCGACAGCAAGGCTGGGCCAGCTCTGCCGCGACCCACGCCCTGTGTAGATAGGCTTGTCCTCAGCACAGCCCTGGCGGCCTCTGTCACTTGGGCCACCCTCCTCTGTGTGACCAGTCAGGGCACTAAATAGCTGTCAGAAACCCAGACAGGTGCTCAGCTCCTGCACCATCTACAGCGTCCCCCCAGCACCAAAACAGGAGGCTCTGGGATGAGCGCCCCTCCTCCCTCCATGCAGAAACTCGAAGCCTGGCGCTGCAGCTCTGTGGGGAGGTGGCCCCAGGGCCAAGGCAGTCCCCCGACAGTGGACTGGGCAGGAGATACTTGCTCACAGTGAGGCCTGCAATGCGTGTGCAGGAGGGACCGCAGTCAGCTCGAGGCTGTCTGTAGCGGGTGGGGGCTGGCTGCCACCATGCTCTGAGCCCCACAGGGTGAGTTCCCACCCTGGATGGCCACCTTCCCTAAGGCCCCTGTGCCTACCAGGAAAGCCACTGCCCCTTGCATAATCCACGGCAACCCCAGCCCCAAGTCTTCCTCAGCAAGCTCAAGCCGGCCCGAGGAGCTCCCACCTCCCCTGAGCTCCGCCCACCTGGAGCAAAGAGGGTGGCCCCAGGGGCTGCAGCAAGTAAGGCAAACCAGGCCTCCTGGAGACAGGGGCTGCAGGTGTGTCTAGCTGACCAGGAGGCTGGCTCCCTCCATCGTGGGCACAGCCCGAGGCACTACTAAGGGTAACCAGGTGCAGAGCGGTGGGAAGCCCAGCCAGCTAACCGGACCAGCAGAGCTGACTGTGCTCAGGGCCCAGGCCACAGCCAGCAGGGGCAGTGTTGGGGGCCAGGCAGCCCTGCCAGATCCCCTGCTCTCGGACCCCTGCCAGGGCCAGCCCAGCCCAGCACCTGGCAGCACCCGCAGCCCCTCGGCACCCTCCTCCAGAGGTGTGGATGCACCTGAGTCCAGAACTGGCCCCCAACTCCTGTGCTCCCTAGGAGGCTGGCTGGTTTGGATTTCACATGGACAGAGGGTAAGAAAAATGTTGTTTCACACTGTTTTTGAGCAAAAGTGTTTATTTTTCTCCTTCAGATATACAATCTCTTGGGGATTCCGTGCCACTGACCACCGTGTATGAGGAAGGGATTCACAGGCAAGGGGGACAGATGAGGGCAGCCCCCATTTCACTCAAGGGACAGGGCAAGGGGGCCGGTACAGAGAACAGAAATCTCTTACGACAGCATGGTGCCCTGGCAGAAGATTCTGCATAATCACCTAGAAAATCCAATTCTAACTGAATTGATGGAGTCATAGATTTGAACCAAAATAATTTACCCAGTTCTAATAAGTACAGAAACTATACAATTCATAGCTGGGCAGTCCCAACCAGTCTGCTTTCCAGCGGGAGGTCGAGGGGGCTGGGGCTTTCCCCTCCCACCAAGGGCTGTGTTGTGCCCGCTGGGGATGAGTCCCACTGAAATCTCCAGAAGAATGACCCTGCCCTCCTCAGGGCAGCCTTAGGAGTGGATGGGAGAGCGGTCTGTGTGCCAGGGTGAGCAGAGCCATAGGCCTCCATGAAGTCATGGAGAAGGGAGGGAAGTGGGCAGGAGAGAGGACAGCCCCTCCAGCTGAAGGAGCCACGCTTGTCTCCACAGGGTGGGCGGGCAGCAGGAGTCTGTATGCCCAGCACACACCCTATCCTCGCTCACAGCAGCCCACTGGCGCCGAGGGCACGTCTGCTCACCTAATGTTTTCTGGAGGATCATGGCCCAGCAGAGGCTGACATTCCCCACTGAGGGAGCAGCTCCGCAGTGTGCCCTGCCCTGGTGTCCCGCGGTCTCTCAGCCCCTGGCTAAGCCCAGGGAACCCGCGCTCTCCTGAGGACAAGGCAGGGCTCACCTAGCACTGGAAGCTCTGCTGTACTGAAGGAGGCTAGTTCAGGGTTTTAAAAAGGCATTTACAACAGAAAACCAAAGTTTGAACTTCAGCTTCAGATCTGTAAACCATTCACATCTCTGCAACTTAAAACAGTAAATAAAGATTATCAATGCACAAGCCAATTGCAAATGAAACCTTTTCCAATAAAGTTTTTTAACATTATCTTTTCATCAGGGAACAGAAAAGCTGGCATTCAAGGCACTGTACTTCTGCAGGGTGGTGACAAGGTTCTAACCATCAACTCAAGTATAGGGAGAGAGTGTGGAGGCGGCGTGTGGACCACAGGAACCTAGGAGCGAACGGGGTCTGAAGCCGCAAAGGAAGCAGTCTTGCTGCCCACCTGCCGTCCCCCTCGTGGCTGGGTGCTGTGCCCACAGCAGGAGGTGGGGGGGACTTGGAGGCCAAACCACACCTGGCTTCTCCGGGCGGTTCCGAGGGCGCCATCTGGCAAGGGACAGGGCAGAATGCTACGTGATCCACAGCCGGGGGCCGGGCATGCTGACCACAGGTGGCCGCAAGAAGACTGGCAGCACGGGCACCTGGGGGGGGCTCCAGCTGCCCTGTGCCCCCGGCTGGCCCACCTGGCCTGCCCAGGGCCCCCAGGACACTGGAGCTGTGGGCAGGCCTCCGTACTGACCCAGAAACAGCGCACAGGGTGGGGCTGGGAGGCTGGAGAGGGCAGTACCTGGTGTGGGCACGGGCAGGGCCGAGGCAGCTCCGGGAATGACCGTGGTAGACAGAGGGCCGGGCACTGGGGGCAGACGTGGCATCCCCACTCCTGCTTGAGGTGCGGTCATCTACGAAACACAGAGACGAGAAGAGGAAGGTACACGTGGCTGCAATCGGTTGGCCTCCCCTCGAGGTGCCCAGGATGCCACAGTTTCTCCATCCTCAGGAGACAGCAGTCCTGGAAGCTGCTGTGACAGGCACCCTCTCAGGGCTGACACCAGAATGATGTTGCGGGGTCAGGAAGCATCACCCTCCCTTGTTTGCTTCCCCAAGCTTCGGCCTGATAGCCTCTAGGCAACACACCTGTGTGTTCACCAGCCAAAATGGGCCTTGGAAGAGGACTGGTGGGGCCTGGTCCCAGAGGGCACATGCACGCCCCCACACGCCTGGCAGGAGCAGAGCCCCAGGGCCTGGGCAAAGCAAGTGTGCAGGGAGGCGGCGGCAATGCAGCCTTCCACTCTCCCAGCCCAGGGAGAAGCCACACGCGGGGTGTGGCCCCGGGAAGGCCAGGCTGCCGGCCACGGGGAGTCACTCCTCTCCACTCCAGGGAGGGCCCCACTGGGGCTCTCCACAAGGGCAGGGGGAGCACTCCACAACTTCCACGCCCCTTCCTGGAAATCAGGCGCTGGAGGAGCCTCCTCAACTGGAAGGGCATCTATGGAACTGACAGCTGAGCCCCGGCCCACGGCAAAATGTCCAACACCTCCCCAAAGTGCATCTGTGCTTCCAGTTGACACTGTGGTGATCTCCAGGAGGGCAGAAAAAGGGGACAACCACGCAGACTGGACAGAGAGAAGGAGAACTGGCCTCTTGCAGATGACAAGACTGTGTGTGCCGAAAACCCACAAGAACGGACAAACCAATTTCTAGAACTCGGCAAATTTAGCACAGTCGCCGGATATGAGGTATGAGTATCAACCACATTTTTATATTCTAGCAACAGGAAGCTGGAAAATGAAATTTAAAGAATAACATTTATAATAGCATTCCAAAACGTCAGCTACCTAGGGATAAATTTAATGAAAACATCTCTACACTGCAGAGAAACAAACAAGATGCTAGTAAATGGAGACACCACCTTCACAGAACAGTCACGCTGTTCAAATGGCAAATCTCAGCAGCTAATCAACGAACGAATACAGTACCCATCAAAATCCCAGTGGGCTAGCTTGCAGAAAGCAACAGGCTGTTCCTAAAACATATGCAAATATTGATGACCTGGAAAAAAATCAAGGAATTCCTGAAGAAGATCAACACTGAAAGTCTTACCTGACCAAAGATTAAACTTACTAGAAAACTTCAGTCATTAAGAGAGTGTGGCATTGCCACAATGATAAGGAAATTGCTAAAGGACCCAGAATAGCAAATGCAGAAATGGACCTACACGCTTGATGAATGTCCGCGCAATTCAGTGCAATTCAATACGGAGAGAAAGGGCTGGAATAATCGGATATACAGAGAGGGAAAAAACAGATTGACCTCTACATCAAAATATACACAAGAGTTCATTTGAGATGGCTTGCGGGACTGAAAGCAACAGCTAAAGCTCCAAAGCTTTTAGAAAAAACAACATTATAAATTTTGCCATTTCATGTTCAGCATTAAGAAAGTGGAAACACAAGCCACAGACGGGTAGACTATATCCATTATATATTTTAACACATCTCTCTATATACAAAGGGACTTCAAAAAGTTCATGGAAAATACATGTCAAGAAAAAACTATGCACGACCTTCAAAAAAAAAAAAAATCTCTGTACCCAAATAAACTTGTACTAACTTCTTATAACATGTCTGAAGAGGATGTAGTCTCAGGCACTAAGGAGGGGAAGGCATTGGTGGGGAAAGAGCCCCTATCACAATAACATGCGTTCGGCCCAGCAAAAACCAACATCAAATGTATGGTGAAGCTTGGGTGGAAGAATGGTGAGATCGCTGATGCTTTCTGAAAAGTTTACCAGGTCCATGCCCCAAAGAAAACAGCAGTTTACAAATGGTTGACTTGTTTTAAGAAGGGATGAGGCCAGGCTGAAGATGGAACACAGCGGCAGGCCGTGCGCATCACTTTGTGGGGAAAATGCTCCTCTGGTCTGAGCCCTAAGGGGACCAGTGGTTGACAACAGAAACAGTGGCCAACACCACGGACATCTTAGTAGGTTCAGCTTACACAATTCAGACTGATAAATAAGTCAAACAGACTTCCCACTCAATGGGTGCCAAAACCGTTGCACACAGATCCACCGCAGAGAAGAGCAGAGCTGTCAGTGGAAACCTTACACAACTGGGATGGAGATCCGGATACTCTCTGAAAAACTGTAACGACATGAAACACGGCTTTCCCAGTATGATCCTGAAGACAAAGTGCAGTCAAGGCAACGGTGCTGAGAGCTGGAAGTGGTCCCGCCCGAACAAAGTGGGCCGGTCAAGAGCAAAGACTGTGGCAATAGCTTTTGGGACACTTAAGGCATTTTGCTTGCGGACTTTCTGGAGGCGTAACAAGGAATGGTAACATCTGCTTACTAAGAGAGTCTTTAGGGAATGTTAGCCAGAGCTTCAGCAGAAAGCCCCTGGGAAATCTTCCCCAGAGAGTCCATCTCCATCACAGCAATGCTCCTGCTCATTCCTCTCAGCAATTAAGGACGAATTTCACAAGAGTTTCGATGGGGAATCACCAGAAATCTACCCTATAATCCTGATTTGGCTATTTCTGACTTCTTTTTGCTTGCTAATTTTAAAACATCTGTAAAGTGCACCCATTTTTTGTCAATTAATAATGTAAAAAAGACTGCACGGCCATGGTTAAATTCCCAGGACCATTAGGTCTCTAGGGAGGGACTAAATGGCTGGCATCATTGCTTATGAAAGTGTCTTGAACTTTATGTGGCTTGTGTTAAGAAAAAAGTTTACATTATATATATATATATATATTTATTTATTTATTTATTTATTTTTATTTATTTATTTATTTATTTTTTTCCCCAGACAGGGTCTTGCTCTGTCACCCAGGCTGGAGTGCAGTGGCACTATCTTGGCTCAACGCAGCCTTGACCTCCTGGGCTAAAGCAATCTTCCCACCTCAGCCTCTTTAGTAGCTAGAACTATAGGTATGTACCACCATGTCCAGCTAACTTTTTTTTTTATTTTTGAGATGGAGTGTGGCTCACCACCCAGGCTGAGTGCAATGGTGCAGTGCACCATTGGCTCACTGCAACCTCCGCCTCCTGGGTTCAAGCGATTCTTCTGCCTCAGCCTCCCACACAGCTGGGATTACAAGAGCCCACCACCATGCTGGGCTAATTTTTTTGTTTTTTTGGATTTTTAGTAAAGACAGGGTTTCACCATGTTGGCCAGGCTGGTCTCGAACTCCTGCCTTGCCCTCCCAAAGTGCTGGGATTACAGGTATGAGCCACTGCACCCGGCAGCCCAGTTAATTTTTGTATTTTTTGTAGAGATGGGGTTTTGCCATATTGCTCAGGCTGGCCTTAAACTCCTGGACTCAAGCAATTCACCCGCCTCAGCCTTCCTAAGTGTTGGGATTACAGGTATGAGCTACCATGGCCAGTCATATATTTCTTATTTTTATCTTTTAATTCCATTTTTCCATGACCTTTCTGAGGCCCCCTTGTACAGGACAGATATAATACTGACAGATATATGATAAACTACCACAAATTAATAATAAAAAGATAAATCAACTTTTAAATGGTCAATCTCTTTGACCAGGCACTTTATAAAAGATGGCTGACAAGAATATGAAAAGGTGCTCTAATAATGAGAAACCTACTACTGGGCCTCAAATTCTTTTTGCAAACAAAGTTTTAACTACAATGTCCTACACACAAATACTTAAAACGTCACAAGAAAAGACAAGGCAATATAAAGAAAAACTAGGCCTAGAGCAAACAAAACCCAAAAAATATTATGTGAAGGAGATACGAGACAGAGAATTTTGGTAGAGAGTTAGAAACTATTTTCTTTCTTTTTAAGATATAGCAGACTTGGTGAAAAAACAAAGAATTCAACTGAAAAATACAATAACCCAAATTAAAAACTGAATGGCTAGGTTTAACAGCAGTTTAGACACACACAAAAATTTAGTGACCTAAAATCCAAGGAAGATAAAACAGGAAGGTATGATTCATTCAAAGGAAACTACTTAACTGACAAAAACATCCCCAAGGAAGCCTCGACATTGGACTTAGTAAACAAAGTTTTTAAATCAACTGTCTTAAATGTGCTCAAAGAACTAAAGGAAGCCAAGAACAAAGAAATACAGGAAGTCAGGAAAATAACACGTGCATACAATGAGGATGTCAACAGAAGTTACGAAGGGGACCAAGTGGAAATAGAAGAGCTGCAAACATTTACAAATTCACCAGAGGGGTTCACCGGCAGACCTGAGCAGGCTGAATAAAGAATCAGCAAGCTCGAGACACTTACGATGGAAATGGTGACGTGAGGAACAGAGGAAGAGGTGGCAGAGTGGACAAAGCCAGAGGGGTGTGTGGTCTGCCATGAAGTGGGTAACACCTTATGGGTGTCACAACGGCCCAGAGATGAACGCTAACATTTAGCTGCAGTGACTCTCCACAAGGGGGCCAAGCCCATTCAAGGGGGAAGCAGTTTTCAACAACTTCTGCTGGAGTGCAGTGGTGCGACCATAGTTCACTGCAGCCTCGAACTCCCGGGCCCCAGCGATGCTCCCACCTCAGTGATCCTCCCACCCAGGTAGCTGGGACTACAGGCATGCGCAATCACGCCTGGCTAATGTTTAAAAAGTTCTGATACATATTGCAACATGGATGCACCTTGAAAACATTATAGCAAGTGAAATAAACCAGTCACCAAAGGGCAAATACCATATGACTCCATTTATACGAGGTACTTAGAGTAGTCGAAGTCATAGAGACAGAAAGAAGGACAGAGGCTACAAGAGCCTGGGAAACCTGAGGTACCAGAAGTGGGGCTGGGGAAGTAGTGTTTAATGGAGACAGAGTTGCCTTGGGGAAGATGAAAAGGTTCGGTGGATGGATGGTGGTGATGGTTGCACAATGCTCTGAATGTACTTCATGGTACTGAACTGTATGTTTGAAAATGGGTAAAATGGTAAATTCTGTGATATATATGCAGCTATGACAAAAATAAGTTTTTTTAAAAAACTCTTAATACTTAAAAAGAATCCAGAACATCTGAACAACAGTTAGCTCTGCTAATCCTAAACACTGACGTACCTGGGACCCAGGCAGCAGAGATGAGCCTGCCCAGGCTCCGGGTGCAGCCTCACAGAACTGTAGGGCCATGTTCACGATTCCTGACTTTGTCCTAAAATAATGGGATTCTACTGAGAATAAATTTGAGGACTCAGGTTGACGGAGGTGTACCTGTCAAGAGGACCCTGCAGTCATTCAAAATAGAAGTAACAGTGGCAGAGCTTGGGAGTGTGGATGTGGAGAGAAGGAAACAGTGAATTCAGCTCAAGCATCCATACAACAGCAACAAAGACTGACACCCGGGTCAAGAGCCAGTCCTGACAATCTTCACAACCCAAAAGCACTAAGTCTGCTGTCCTGCCACAGTGCAGCCACACACAACACGCCGAAAACTGATAACCACACTTACTGCGAATAGCAACAGAAAGGATAAAATATTTTGAAACAAGGGTTAATGAAAATGCTGCACGTACTTCTGGGATGCAGCTGAAACCATCAGTGGGTGCTTTATGTCCTTGAATGCCTACATTGTAATGGAAAGGCTAGAAATCAATGAACATATTGTAAGAAACTTTCTAGAACAACAAAATTCACCCAATGATAGGAGGCAAAAAAAAAAAATTAATGAAACATACAATAAAGACTCTCAAGCACCAAACGTGTTCTTTGAATAGGCTAATAAAATGTTCACCCCTAAGGAGACTGCATAAAGAAAGGGAAAGAGAGGAGAGGCAGAGAGAAGGCAGAAATCACCAACGTCAGGAATGAAATCAGGACATCACTGTAAATCCTGCAAATGGAAAAATAAAAGCTATTATGGATAATTTTATGGCAATTAATTTAAAATTTTAGATACATTTAGAGATACCAATTGCCAGAAAAGCAGAATTTAACAAAACGAAACAGAAAATCCAAGTGGTGTTAGAAGTATAGAAGAAACTGAATCCATAGTAGCAACTGTACCCTCAAGGGATGAACAGGTGTGTGATAAATACAGCAAAAATGTCAATTAGAATGCACGTAGTGGGTATATGGATGTTCACGGCAGAATTTTCAACTCTTCTGTGTGTTTGAAATTTTTCAAGGTAAAAGATCATAGAGGAAAGCCCACACTAAAAAACACAGAAACAAAACTCCAGTCCAGATGGCTTCACGAATGACCTTTACTAAATATTTGAGACAGAAATAACACCGATCTTCCACAAAGCTCTCCAGAAAACTGAAAAACAGCAGATGCTCCTCCAATTTGCACTGACATCAGAAAAAGTGAGGTGTCAAAACCGAGGGGAGCAGGTCCTCACTTCCGCCCCACGTTGGCTCAGGTGTGTGAGCTACAGCCCGACGCTGGTGTCATTCAGGGGTGACACACCTGCCCTGGTCTCCAGCCTGGGCACAAACAGAACTCGGGCAGAGGTGGGTCTGTCTGCTGAGATCAGGGCTACCAACTCTGGGTGTGGGGCCCAGGCTGCCCGGGCTGGGGCTGCTGCTGTATCTGAGCTGTGGAGTCACAGCCCTGGCCTGGCCTGGCCTTTCCACCTGCCAGCTGTGGCGCTGTGGGCACGTCGCTCACCTCCCAATCTGTAAAGTGGAGAAGCCTAGTTCTTGGGGCTGTGGGGAGAATGAACTCGGATCACGAAAGTGAAGAGCTTAACTGGACACCCTTCAGCCACACAGGGAACTAGCAAATGCTGGAGGCACAGCTACCCTACCCCAGGAGCACCCGCCCCGCCCGCCCCGCACTCACAGCCCGCGCCTCTCCAGGGGCAGCCCGGCCTGCCTGGGCCTCCATGTCCTGCAGCTTCTGGGTCTGCTTCAGCTGGTTGAGCGTGGGCTTCAGCTGTGCGGCCCCCACCGTCTTGCTCGTCCACTCGTCCACCAGCTTGTGCAGGTCGTCCGTGAAGGTGCCCTTCTTGTTGTTGCTGTTGTTCACCTGCGCCTGGACGCGCAGGGCGGGCTGGGGGCCCGGCTCAGGGCCTGGGGCCAGGCTGCTGGTGGAGGACCCTGGGGAGTCACACACAGGCCAGGATTGGTGACGCCACACACGCGCCCAGGCCCCCAGTGGGCTGGCCGCACTCGTTCTTACGTGACAGCTGAGACAATGGTCTCACTTGGGCCAGGCAGCACCTTGCTTCAAGAGGCGGTCGGATTAAGGGGCCTGGCTGCCCAGGACCAGACACCGTGGAACTTTTCCACGGGCTATGCCAGGTGGCCATCACCCACCTCAGAAGCCAGGCCAGGGAACAAGACCCTGCAGCAGCTGCAGCCTCTGCTCAGCGTCCACTCTGTGCCCACCACTGCCCGTCCCCAGACTCACGTGTGAGAGAGCTCAGGAAACTCCTAGCACAGCCAGACACACTGGGCTTCAGCGTCACGGTGCCTAGAGTAAGGTTCCTTAGGCTCTCTCTGGCCTGTGCATCCTCAGCCATAACATGAGGACGCAGGGGCGGTGGGAGTACCGTGTGCAGAGTGCTCAGCACCCAGGGCTGGCTGGCCTGCAGGCGGCCCCCTGGCCCTCGGGAAGATGGCTGCCAGGGCTGGCTGACTGCATTCCCATGAATTTTAATGGTCTGATTGTTTGGAATTCCAGGTGTAGAAATTGTCCTGACCAGAACGATGGAGGAAGGTATTCATAAAGGGTCTCCATGCCTGGAGCTGCCTGACGTGGCCCCACCAGCTCCTGCCGTTGGCTGTGCTGCAGGAGGGAGCTGGGAGCCACCCTGCTGACCATTAGCACACCAGAGCACTCGGCTGGTTCATTCAAAGGGGCTCTTAAGGGACCAAAATGAGACTTTAAAAGTTTTAAATCATACCCTTTCCACCCAATACATGTAATTTCTGGTTGGCAATTTTGAATAAGCCAATTTAAAAATTTTCTGCATAGAAAAACAACCTAATGACCATCTCTTCAAACAAGCTGTCCCCAAATGTAGTGGACTTTAGTGGCTAGCAATGAAAAAGCACAGACACAGACAATTAAAAATTAGTGATGAGGTTTGACACACATGGAGCTATTCCTACATGAAAAGTTCAGCCAGAAAAGAAAAAAAAATTTTTTAAGAGAGAGAGAAAGATGAGAGAGAGAGAGGTGAGTGGCCCAGGTAGACTAATACCCACTCAGTCCCGGCATCTCTCCTCGTGGGGAGGCACTCATCTTTAGGACTTCAAGGAAATACTCATTCCTACGGTTTTGGAAAAGGAGCCAATTAATGATTGGTAATTTGCGGGTGTTCCGGGGAAGGATAAGCCCGTTAGATGTGAACTGGCGAGACCGCACAAACTCTAGGCGCCACGGAGACACACGGGGGAGCCGAGGGCAGCGATCCCACCAGGCAGAAGCGAAGCGGCGCCCAGCCGAGGGGCATGGAGCAGGCACAGGGCAGGCCCACGCCCGCCCGGCCGCGGGAGCCCTGATGTGCGCTAGCCACGAGAAAGCCCATGCGATGAGAGAGGACAAAGGGGGAGAAAACCCGGATAATTACTACTGCTGTGTTCTTTGCCTAGGCAGAGACGCTTCAGGGCAGACCCTGCAAGGGAAAAAGAAACGACACAAGACCACAGGGTTAGGCATAACAGCACACACCGGGACACGCTACCACACTAAGCAAAAGTCGTCAGTGTGCAGGGAGGGGCAGACACAGGCAGCAGTTCAGAGAGAGGGCCGACCCGGCCGGGGGAAACGGGGCAGCCCCCGGAGTGAGGGCACAGGCTCCCATGAGCTTCGCCGAGGGGGCAGAGGTGCCAGGGCCAAGCCCTCAAGCTTCAGGGAGAAGTATTTGTCTCTAGAAGCATATTCTAAGAAAAGTAAAAGAGAAAGAAAAAAAAAAAGAAGGAAAAAAGCAAAGCACACCGCTTTCAGACATCAGGCTTCTGGGCGCCCCACTGGTGGAGGCAGGACACCCTGCTGAGAGTCGGCCACAGGAGCTCAGGAATGGAGCTGGGCACGGCCGGGCCTGGCCACCCAAGCCCAGCAGAGGTTTTCCAAGTGCAAAAAGATACATTGTTTTGCAGGTTGGAGGCCAAGTCTGGATCTCAGATGCTGCCTCTGATGAGGTCAGCGCAGGTGTTGAGTAGGGGACCTGAGAGTTTCCATGTAGGGGCTGACTCCAATGTCGGGGTACACTGTGCCACATGCACAGTCAGTATCCACAAGGGATAGGGCAAGGCCTCAGCCTGGAACACTTCTGGCCTCCTTGTAATTGGGACTGCCGCTAAACCGACTGGTCCCAGCTGCCCAGAGGCCATCTGGTTTACACTGAATGCCATGTCCTGGCAGGTCAGTGCCCAGCCTGGTATGGACGGGGTCCCCAAGGCAGGGTGAGCTGGGAGGTGCGGCCATCCCCGCTTATCCTATGGGCAGGCAGAGCTTGGACGGGCAAGCACAGGCTCAGACTTCCCCAAGGTCACTCGGCAAAGCCACACTGGCTCTGTCTACACTCCAGCCCACGGCCTCTTGCCTAGGAGCACACTCTCTCCCCAGCAGAACTACACTCCTCAGCGCTATTCCCAGCAGACCTAAAGAGAAGCGACTCTGATCTTCCCAGGATTCAGGAAATCCAGCAACGTCCACCTTCCTTTTCCAAAGGGGCTCATGCCTCCTGCCTCGGGGGACAGCGGACAACTTGTCACCCAGCTCCTTGGCCCAAGCTTGGCCTGAGCTGTGTGTCCTGGACTTGGAAACCTAGTTCAACTGAGTATTTTCAGTTCATTCTGTCTGTTCCTGAGCTAGTGTGGGGAAAGGTGAGGTGGCATTCTGTTGCAGACCAGTGTTCGAATAAAAAGGAGGGAGCCCGGGGGAGGGATCCAGACAGACAGCTGGGCTCTGGGTGAGCACCTCTGAAAGGCTGTTCCCTGGCTGCTGTGTTCTGAGATGAAACCCTGCCAGGAACACAGAGCTGATATCCTGTGGATGGCTTACTGAAGTTTGCAGGGGAGGTTTGGCTGGTTTTCTGTAGCGCAGAGGGGCCCCTGAAATCTGTGATGCAGCCTAGGCTGGGATCCAACCTGTGGGGGCACTGGGTGGGCACCAATTTCCCTGGCAGGCTTTGTGGGGGGCTGCAGCCATGGTCCCGTGCAGACAGCCCTAAGCCAGGTGCTTCAAAAAGCTGCTCTGTGCCTGTCTGGCAGTTCTTGGTGTGGCTGGAACTCTACATTCAGGGCTAATTCCTGGCTGTTGCCAAGCTGGGAAGAACACCAAACAGGCCGGCTGCTGGCTGGGAACCACCAGAGGGAGCCTGGACCTGCAATCAAAGCTGAGACTGACTCACCGCCCTGGGAACCCAGGGTCGGGAGTGTCCTGAGGACACGGCACCCACTCAGAGCCAGGGAGCAACCCTGGCCCACAGAGGCCTCCATACCCTTCCTCAACTTGGGCCCCAAAGACCAGTGGGCAGATGGCTCTAGACCTCTGGCAAAACAATGGGTGCCAGCCTTTCAAGGCCACGCTGTCCGACGCCACTTACTGCAGACGACTAAGCTGGGGCAGAGACTTCCCCACGCTCTGGACAGCTCTGCCCATCCTTGGGTGGCTCCTCAGTCTACCTCTCCACAGAGCCTCAGCCTGGCCTGGGCCCTGCCCCTCACTTGCCCACCATGCAGACGTCACCCGAGGACAGCCCCACCTGGCCCCCTGCCGCTCGCTCTGTGCCAGGACAAACACTCCCACCTCCTGTACATAACGCAGCAACAGGAGAGCAAAGGCGACGTTCAGGAGGCGGCCAAGTGACACCAGACCCACCTCAGTCTCCCTGTGGGGCTTCCGTCCCCAGCCAGGCCCGGGAAGAGGTGGCACTGAGGCCCTAAACTACTCAGCAGTGCTGGGGCGGGGTTTGGTGGCCTCATCCCAGTGGTTGGGAGATCCGCTGCTTTCTTCCCAGAATGTAAAAGTGGCAGCACACAGGACGACAGGAGGGCTGGCTCTTGGACTTGGCATCTCCTGCTTTTGTGCAGTCAACATCGGCTGAACCCCCAAGGCACAAGCAGAGGCTCCCTCCCCACTCCAGCCCTGACTCGCTCTGACATAAAAACAGCTCTTGGGTCAACGGCCCTGTCCTCTGGGTGGCCCGGGCACCCACCCCCTCCAGACCCTCAGCCTCTGGCCAAGACACCTCAACATGAAGGATTCAAACCAAGGGTGTGTGCCTGGGCAGAGGGCCTAAAAAGTGGGTCAGCCCCAGAGCAATCTCTCACACTCGCTTTCACCTCGCAGGGCTCAATACTGCCCAGGTGCCCACGGACAGCGGGGCGGCCCACCTCCCCTCACAGGCGGCCTGGTAGCTGTGCCTCACCCCCCTTCGACCTCCCGCGCTCTGAGGTGGGCCAGCCCACCCCACAGTCAGCACTGGCTCCCTTTTCTGGCACAGAAGAAAAATGAGGATCCAGGGTAAGACCCCCTTTAGGGTGTCTACGTATTGAACAACCATGTTCTTGAGCCAAGAACTGTTCCCAGATTCCTGGGAAGCAGGATCTGCCTGACTCCGCCCAGGGAGACCTAGGGCTGTTTTCCTGTTGCCCTGAGCTGCATGATCCCACCCTGCACCAGGCCTGTCGCACACAGGCACGCCCCACGGGCAGCCCACGGTGGCGCGCAGCACTGACAACCTTGGCTGCAGAGGTCAGGGCCTGGTGAACCAGTGCCGGGTGGGAGTCTTCTCTGGGTGCCCTCTGCCCCAAGGCCTCCTGAACACCTGCTGCAAAGGGCCTCGCTGAGCACGCACTCTGTTCCCACCGGGAGGGATGAAAGCATTCCACAGTGAGAGGAGGCCTAGGACGGTCCCTGAGCCAAACATGCTACAGCCAACAGGCGATGTAGAGAAAACCCAGACCCCATGGCTCCAGTGTGCAGAAAGGCCCACTAGATTGCCAGCACCTGCCCAGTCAGGTGGAAGGATCCGGAAGGACCCCAGCTTCTGAGCAGCAGAACCAACAGAACCAACCAGAGGTGTCATCTCAGCATCTGCACCCGACCCTCCTCCTGGCTCCAAGGCCACCATCCCTTAGAATGCAGTGGGCCGGGTGCAGTGGCTCATGCCTATAATCACAGCACTTTGGGAGGCCTACGGTGGTGAACCGCTTGAGCACTGGAGTTCTAGACCAGCCTAGGCAACATGGTGATACCCCGTCTCTACTAAAAATACAAAAAAGTAGCAAGGTGTGGTGGCGCACGCCTGTGGTCCCAGCTACTTGGGAGGCTGAGGTGGGAGGACTGCTGGAGCCAAGGAAAGTGGAGGTTGCAGTGAGCTGAGATCTCACCACTGCACTCCAGTCTGGGTAACAAAGCTAGACCTTGTCTCAAAAAAAAAAAAAAAGAGACTGCTCTAAGGCATTGGGTCGTATGAGCTGACCACAGCATCTGCTGACCACAACGCGGAGGAGTCTGCGGGCTGGGTGAGAGGTCTGCGCCAAAGGGCCTAGTTCACGGGGATTCCAAGTGGGGGCCTTGCACTCTAGGGCTCTGTCCACCTGCTGCTTCCAGCCTCCACTGCTTTATTCCCTGTCCTGCACCTCGAGTCAGCTCGGGCCTCTGGAGGTGCCTGCTGCACTGTGCTGCCCTGCTCTATCCCTTGGCACAGCCACCTGGGCAACCCCAGCCCACCCTCTGGTCTGGCCTCAACCTACCATGCCTGGAGCAGTTTCATCTTCTCTGACCTCCACAGAGGCCAAGATCCTTCTATACTTCAAAATGTAACACATTTTGTTTTCCTGGAACTGTCTCTTCCAGGAAGTGGGGGTGCCCCACATCAGGGCAGTGAGCTGAAAGCTCTCCCTAGGCTCTAGGGAGTGAAAGCTGGGCTGTGCCGGCTGCCCCTCCCTAGCCGCACCTTGGCATCCACCCCACTCCTCCTCTACTTGAACCGTGACGCCCAACCCCGTGGCATCTTCCATGCACCCACCTCAGCGTCTTCCTAGCCCAGGTGCTCACACTACCCCTGCCTGCATCCCTCCCTCCTGGCCTCCAAGCCCAGCGCAAGTCCATGGCCTCCGCCCAAGTCCTCCGCCTTTCAGCACTCACAGGGCTGTGCCCATCCCCAGAGTCTTTCCCCTGGAGGTGCTCAGTCTCCTCACAGACCCCACAGCTCCCCCTTCCCTTTTGAGCTATCCTGTGAGTTTACCCAGGACCAGCAGAGGTGCATGCAGGTGGATGGCTCAACAAGAAGTCCAGCTTCCACAGCCTGGGGGCACAGAGACAGGAGGGGGCAGTCCCAGCCACATCCTAGTAGAGTGGCAGAGACTTCAGCTGCCCCAAGCTGATGCAGACCAAGCTTGAGAGGTGCCCAGGGCAGAGGCCCACCTGAGTTCTCCCTGGCCAGCAACTCCAGAGTGGGGGGGATTGGAGGGGACTTTATGGCCCAAAAGACTAAGACCAAGAGGGAGGCTAAGCCATGAAAACAAGCAATACCACAAAACACAGCACAGAGAGGGAAGTGGGACCTGAACAGGCACCACACCTGACACCAATGCCCTGCACCAAGTCTCCCAGGTGCCCTCACCCCAGTACCAGCCCTAGCAGCAGCTGCACACACAGGACCCAGAAGAGGAGCACCAAGTGAGGCACAAGACCAGCAGAGGCCGAGACCTGGCTGCAGAGAAGGGACCACAGCCGGATGCCACAAGAAGACCCAGAGACGCAGGGGTGTGTGTGTGTGTGTGGGCGCCCACCCTCCAGACTCAACTCAGCAACTCACCAGACACCGGGCCGCCCTGACCCCCAGACCAACAGCCCAGACGACAGACACAGCGGCCAAAACAGGGCAGCCTGTTAAACAGACGAACGGGAAGTCCTGGGAAGGCCCTGGCATTTCTACATGGCCCTTGTGTCCTCGACCTGCCTGCCCAGAGAACAATGACCCACGTGGACCTCTGATGGTGTGGGTGGATGGCAGTGGACGCCTCCCACAAGCATGGCCTCTGGCTCCCAACAAACACAATGTATCTTTATTGTACAAGCAAAAAGTCATGTGCCCCAAACCAGCATAACCAATCCAATTGTTGAAAAGCTTAATTTTCCTATTAAAAAGACGAAAGCCTAAAAGCGTTACAGCTTTTGATTCATTGGCCAATTGTCCTGAGAGTTAAAAACAAGCTGCGTGCTTTGGGATAGCCCCGGGCAGGAAATGGAGCTCCTGGGCCCTAAATGTGTTCCAGAGGATCTGAGCGATACTGGGACTGAGTTTTGGCTTAGTAGCGATTGGAGGAACTGCATCATTGACTTTGTCCCTGTGGTCACAGGAAAATACAGCAACTAAAGTGCTCCTGCTGGCTGGGGGAGAAGGAGCTGGCCAGGCAGGATGCATGCTCCAAAGAAGAGCCGCCCGGAAGGCTGTCACTCTCCTATTTTGGGTTGGAGACAGCAGTGGGTGAAGAGCAATGACAGAGGAGTCCAGACCTGCCCTTCCAGTGGGGAGGGGCTGGGGAGGCCGAGCTGGAGCACGTTCTCTCAGCATTTCCACATGCAGGGCGAGGGGCGGTGGGTATGCGAGGTGCTGGGTGCTGGGATTTGGCCCTGGTACAGAAGCCACGCCCTCCAGTGACCTTTGGAACCATATAGGCTCGCTATGTGTGTGTCTTCACAGTCCAGACACGCGTGACACACACCGTGCGTGTCTGGAGGAGGTTGGGGTTGTCTTTTTGTTGTCGCTGGAACTGGGGACAGCGTACACGTATATTCGCCACAATTGCAACAGAAAAAAAACCACATCCAACATAAAAAAAAAATTAAATAAATGAGGTGACGAAAAAAATGCAAAGGGACCCTGTCCTTTTGGACGGAGGTGCCCGGGGTGGAAGGCAGGTCAGCCGCTGCACATGCTTTCCGTGCCCAGGCACCAGCCATGAGCATGCACACGCGATGTCTGGGGCCGGGGGAGAGGCGCGGGCGGCCGCCGCTCCAGGGGACCGGCTCATGGGGTTCCACTTTGGTATTAAATAGGTGACTTCAGTGGGGTGGGGGAGGCATCCTATGAAATGTATGAAAGGTAATGAAGACAGGGAGGGGGTGGAGGGAGAAAACCAAGGGCCAGGAGGTGATAAAATACAAAAGAACAAATACAGACAGATGGACACAGATACGGGTCCACTGAGGAATCGAGCACGAGGTTTGCTACTAGACTTATAGGTCACTCTCTCAGACGTTGGGTGGTAAACCGTCCAGCCTGCAAATGAATATAAAGGGAAGAAAACAAAGAGACACTCATCAAGTACAGGTTGCTGCGATTCCTCCTCCACACCAACAGCCACACCAGCCTCGTCACTTAACATCCACGGCTCCATCTAGCCCAGCCCGGAGCACCAAAGCCACTGACCATGTAATGGGAAGGAGGCAGCGGGAGGAGCAGAAGAGAGGCAGCCCGGAGAAGGGCGGGCAGGGTGGGGTGGGCGGGGCGGGGCGGCTTCATGGTCACCATGATTTCTCTGGACAGAGATGGTGAGGACAGGAGAGCACCTTATTGAGCAGCTGCTGCTGTCCACGCAGCGTTGACGAGAGAATTTCCTCCTCAAGGCCAAACTCCCAGCTCGAAAGCTGTGCCCTCGTCCCCCCAGCCGTCCCTCTGGACTTTGGAAGGACCCGGTGTTTAGCACCATCTGGCTCTGCTGTGGGGGTGGGGGTGGGGCAGCCAGTGCCTGGGAACTGGCGCTGGAGCACACAGCCGGATGCCAGGTCCCCTGCCCTCCCCAGTCCTAGCCACTTCCCCGAGGTCCGCTCTAGCAAAGCATCACCCCCCCTGAGCTGCTTACAGCAAGACTTGGTGGTGGTTGGGGCAATTCCATTATTTTCATCCAAAGACTGTCTTTTTTTTTTTTTCTCCTTTATAAAAGAAGCCTCTCAACAGCCTTTGCCGCAGCTCGCAACCCCTCTACACCACACGGGCGTGCTCCTGGGGACACCACTGAGGCCCTATGTGGCTAGCACATGCTCGGAGACAGGCAAGCTGGAAATCACCTTGGCCACGCACTCCGCCTCCATCATTGGCTAAGCCGGAGCAGATGTCCGAAGACAGGGAGGCCCGGACGGAGCAGGGCTGCTGGGTCTGCACTGCCTTCCCGCTCAGGCCCGTGCTGTCTGCAGCAAGCCCCGCACTGGCTTGGGCAGGGTCCTTAGCGGGAGGGCCTCTGCTGGAGTCAGCCAAGTGACCTGGGCGGGGGGAGAAGAGGCGACAGGCACGATGAGGCGCCGCCAGGTCGGGGCCATGTGGGTCGAGTCTGTTCTGCCCGCTCGTTGCTGGGTGACCTTGGGAAAGCTCGCGTCTCCTGCAGACCACAGGCACATGGCCACATCTCCCACGTAGGAGTGTTGGGGAAGATCAAAGAAAGTGCCCAGTCTCTACCAGCCCCCACTGCCGTGGCTGGACTTGTGTTGTGCAAATACAGTGACAGAAGACACACCCAGGCTGTCAGTGGCCTGTGCACCTCCTATCTCAGTCTCCCTTAGCTCTGGGAAGTGGCTCTGAACCCGTCTAATGGGTATAATTCATGGATGTGTGCCCCAAAGGTTGTGGGCTTATGGTGAGCTTACAGCAGCTTGCCTGGCACGCTTGGGGCCTTGGGCTCACAGGGCCTCCAGCCCAGGATGCCAAGGCTCTCAGCCAGCAGGCAGGCTGCAGTGCTGCTCAGAAGGCCTCAGGAAGCCCCGGCATGCAGGGATGTGGGCTAGTGGCTGCCTGGAGCCAGGCCAGTGCCACTCAACGACTAGGTGTCACCTTTAACAAGACTGGGAGATCACCACCATCCCCTTTCTCCCCCAGTCCCCAAAAGCAGCTGCGCGGCTGGCACACACTGGAGAAATGGGTCAAAGAAGGCAGCCACCATCCATCCACGCAGTGCCCTGCAGAACAGCAGGTGAGGGAGGGCAGCCTGAGCTTCCCTGGCACAGCTATAGCCTACAGAGTCAGGCCCAGTTCTGAGCAGCCCCTGCCTACTCACGGGCCTTCCCTCTCTGCATGAGGACAGAGGACCACGGCTGCCTTCATACTGCAATGACTCCTCTGCTCCAGGAAAAGCAGGTTCAGTAAGGACACAACCCCAACTGGTCTTCCAGGTCTGAGGGTGTCACACCTGCACGGAGCCTGCCTCCCAGGCTCACTCAGGGGTCCCCAGGCCCGCTCCCGTCCCAGCCCTGCACCCGGAGGCCGACCTGTGCTGGAGGCCACGACCTTGAGCTGCCGCACCAGGGGGTTCAGCAGCTTGCCCGCTTTCAGCTTGCTCTTGCTGGCTTTTCTCCGGCGGCCAGTGGGAGGCGCCGTGTGGAAGAAGCCCACGTTGGGGGGCAGCGGCTTGCCCAGGCGGCGGTACAGAGCCTCGATCTCCTGCTTCTGCTGGCTCTGCAGCTCTGAGATCTCCTTCAGGTGCCTGCAGGAGGGGACAGGAGGGAGTGCCGGTGGGCTTCCTCGGTGATTCCAACACCACCAGGCTCTCCAGGAGGGAGGCGGTGTGGGAGGACAGGGGGTGCAGGGTGGGTGCCCTGTTGGTGCCTTGGCCTGGGCCACTCGAAGGGCCACACAGAGGCTGTAAAATGGCACAGTGTTCCTATCTAAACTGGAAGGTGCCAAGGTGGGGGCCTCTGGCATTGACGTGCCCAATGGCACAGGCCAGGGTAAGGAGCCTCAAATACCCAGACTCAAAACACTTCCATTGATGCTTGCAGTGAAAGGCCCAAACATGAACACAGGTGAGGGGAAATCAGCAGGTGCCAGGTACCAAAGACACCGCCATTTATCAGGCAAAAGTATTATTTCCTCCACATGCAGAAACAGAGTGGAAGGCAGCTCAGACCAACACAGCACTGCACGAGGAAGTCAGCGAGATGCTCAGTACTGCCCAGGAGCCATGCCATACCAACATGGGGCCACTGCAGTGGGTCCCACGTCATCCTGCAGGTGAAATGCAGGATCACTGGCCGTGGGCAAGGGCAGAGTCTAGGACTGCCAAGGGGAGAAGGCGGAGGGGAAGATGCAGAGGGGAGAAAGGTGAGAGGAGGATGTAGAGGGGTGGATGGGGAGGGGAGGATGCAGACAGGAGGGGGCCAAGAGGAGGGGGCCAAGGGGAGGATGTGGAGGGGAGAATGCAGAGGGAGGATGGAGGGGGCAGGAAGGTGAAGGGAGGATGAAGAGGGGAGGATAGAGAGGGGAGGATGAGGAGAGGAGGAAGGTGAGGGGAGGATGGAGAGGGGAGGATGGAGAGGGAGAATGATGAGGGGAGGAAGGTGAGGG